ATCCTATTAGTCATATTGATTGCGATTTGAGGGTTCATCATCACTTAAATGAAATGTATTCAATAGATAATGCATCTAGGCGATCCGTTTGGGCAAGACGGAATATTGCGAAAACCTTCTTTAGTGCGATTTCAACACGTGGTTAAGACCTGGCGGTAATCATTGCGAATTCATGTCTATTTCTCAATGATTCATTGTGTTCTTGAACGCTCAAGTGAATTTTCATTCATCCTCGACATCTTTAAATCGCTATTATGCATTTTTTTTCGCATCAAAAGTGTTCTTTTCTTTTCATTTCAACCAAGCACAATCAATTTCTCACACTACTCTTAACACTCATTCTTTGAATCGCTTATTTGTCTATTGTTAACGAATAATAACAGATCAACTGCATTCAATGGTGCCTCCTAATTCATTCGGCATTGATCTTGCTGTTCAAAAGCATCGAACTCATAAATGAGGGATTTTCACTCGACCAGATAAATGATTTTATGTTAATCCGAATCTAGCTAGATCATGACTCCGCAAGACCAATTCGATGAAGTGATGGCAGCTGGAAAGTATTGCATTTAATTCAGCTATATGGTGGAAAGTAGATGCATGGTGATTTTTTGAGGGATTTACAATCATGGCACACTGTTGTTGGATGCAACAGTCATGCTGATTGATGGAATGAATAATAATCGCATTTGCAAATGGTCAAGCGACGACTAAGTCGACAAGGCTTTAGGCAAAATCTGCTTACAGGGATGATACATGCAAATAAGAAGCTTTATGCGTTTCACTTTATCCACTTCCCTGCAATCAGTTAATTATCTTTGTACTAATTTCAAAGATTTCCGTTCAATATCTCTTTGCTTATTGCACACTCACCATGCTCGGCATCTTAAATGTTTTCTCTGTATCAACGACCTTTCTTCGTACAGGTTAGCAATGCGTCGTCATATCGTGATGAATCGCTGTTTGCGTAATCTGAACTCAATTTATGATCACATCGTCATTATTGTTAAGAGCGTAAATTGCTGAATAGCACTTGATTATGAGTGAGCGCATTTTCTGATTGTTAGCTATTGTTGTTGTATTCTGAATACATTATACGGCTTATTATCAACAATGACAAAAGTAATTGTATTGAGCATAATGTTGGTTATAACTAAATGAATACTTATTACAGCAACAACCTCAACAACAATCGCTGCAATGCGGTGCAACGACCTTCACAAAATTGTCGTTCGATCCTCCAACCAAATCGAGTCTATTACCTTCCGGTCGATTGACCTACGTTCCATTAGAACAACTCGTTGGCGGTGATATCTGTCGCGTTTTGAGCACCTCAAAGCCACATTCTTTTTATTCCTTTAGCAGCTATCAGGTTTTTGAACTCTTCACATTGCGCTGCTCTTTATTCATTAATGTCACACCAATGTCACATCCTCGAATCTCATTGTCAACTCTGAATGATCACTCAAAACACTTCGATCATTCTGTAAAATATTCAAATTTCATAAAGAAAAACAAAACAGATTAATAGAGAATAATTTTTGCGTACTTTCAGCAAATAATAACCATGTGTGGGAATTGTACGAGTTGTGAGAGCGAGTTGAGTTCAATTTATTCGTATTTGCAACGATTAATTGGTGATTTAAAAGTGACGCTGTTGATACTGATAAGAGGCATTAATCACAATAGCAATAACAGTAACAATAGCCATAAACTAGCCCTATCATCGGTCGACAACGATCCGTCACAATCGCAACAACAAAAGATCAGATTCGCATTCATCGATGACGAGATAACGCCGATCGCCTTCGACGACTGTCATATTATTGATACGAGTGATAGTGACGCACTCAGAAGTTTCTCAAAGACGTCAGTTTTATTCGTTTCCATTTCGTTCATCATACTTATGGTCATCTCGCTTGCGTGGCTCGTCTTCTACTACGTTCAGAGGTTCCTTATATTTTTCTCTTTTATGCCGTTCTCTTAAAATCTCAAATTTCTTACACGTTCAGCGGAGATAAGCGTATTTGTGCACCGTGTGACGTGATATCACATCA